AGCATTCCTCTGTAACCGGCTGCAGCACTTATCTCCGTTCCCTGGTACTGTTTGTGCTGAACCAAAGCAGCTGCTACCCCGAGTTAAGAGAGAACAAACTCAACACGGCGTGAAATTACTGCACTTCCATTCACATTCATTAGAGTTATATTGTTACCAGCTACAAGCATGACTGGTCTTTGCATGAATAATAACAAGAAATGCTACTTTGTGGGTTTTACCTTAAAACATTAACAAGACACAATGCAAACTTTGAAACCATGTGTATTATGGTCCATCTAATAATATATATTATTGCATTTTTCTTGTCCATTGCTGGAGTAATACTTATAAGATTTGGAAAAAGGCAGATAGGAAGTTTCGAAACAGAAGTATGGTTACAAGGTGGCTATTAAAAATAATTCCAAAAGGTCTGGAGTGTTGGTTCCCGAAGCTGTGTTGCTGCCACTAGAACATGGAACCTCTGCTATGTTTGTCATGGGAGAGGAGAACCAGTACCCAAATCCTCAAGTACCGAACAGATGATTTCCCCCTGGCTCAATTAGAAAAAAACAAGCAAGCTAGCAGCAGCTTGGTTTGGTACCTATTCCTCTTCAGCAGATCACTTTCATCCTGTCTGCTGGCAGGTTGGGTTTCAGAAACAACTCTGTTGCCTGCCTTCAGTTCACCGTCGTCGTCGTCTCGGTGCTGCTGCGACAGTCAGACCCGAACGTGGCTAGAAATGCGCTCTGCGCATAGGTGTAGTGGCCCTGCTTTTTATCTCCCCGCGCTCAGAGCCGTGGTGCCTTTGGTCTGAAAAGCCTTTGGGACGTTAATAGTGAGGAAACGCCTGGAGAGCAGAGAGGACTCTAGTACGTGCTGGGTCAAGTCAGCAGCGTAGAATTTTCCTCAACAGGTTTTGTTACGGTCTTTTGGTTCTTATTAGTCTTTATGTCCCAAACCAAAGCCAAACTATTATTGCTCTTTTTTAATAATGCTGGTTTTATTGATTGATTAATTGCATGTCGTTCAAGCACTTTTTCAATTTATTGTGTCTGTTTCACGTAGATATGTGAATTGTATCGCATGTCTGACCAGTTTATGAAATTTTCATATGTCAAAAATACCTAAAATTTCAAAGCTGGTTCTGATACGTTGAGTTATCTGCTTGTTAACATTTACAAAATGGGTTATTCTTTTGTGACTAATTGGAATGGTGTCTTTCTGTTGTGATAGTACTCAAATTCAGAAGCTGATTGCTATAGATACAGCCTAAATATACAACCAGGAGCTTAAAAAGCTTGTAAAGCTTCCAGTCCCCAGAACAAGAGGCAGAGTGTTTAGCAAAGCCACGAGCTGTCTGCAACCAGTTGTATGGAAACTTCCTCTTGCTGTAACAGTCACAGCGATGCCCAAGTTTCAGATGACAGATTTTTATCAATCGGGGAAGGGTGCGTTACTAGTTTACAGCTCTGGCTCCGAAAATATTGCTGTTTGTGTTTTCTGGTTTGTTTAGATCTGTCCATTTCAGGTTCTGTTAACCTTCTGTGATTTGAGGTAAAAAGCAAACAGAAAACCTATTCAATCTGTGAAGCTGCAGTTGATTTCTTCAACGAAGTAAACCTAGAGACCAATTGCCATTGTTTTTTACTTTGCACTCTTTTTTTGTGCAACCCCTGGACATGATCAATGAAGATTTTTCAGTCTTTCTTTAGAGAAAGTTGTTTACTGCACTCATTTATTACAAATAATAGAAATGGTAGAAGTAGATGTGAACTCTCTCAAATAAGCTATCTGGATCTTAAGCATTGTTTAATTCTGTCTTCAAATAAATGGAAACAATTTTAGAGAATTAATTTGTTTACAGTGTAAAATAGCAATTGTGTCTATTTAAACAAAATTATTTTCTTGTAGTTACGTTTTTAGATATGTTTCTAAGGAAAATAATGAAACAAACCCACATATTTAATTTTCTTCACCTTATTCAAAAAGAATTTTAGAGCGTACTCTAAATATGCTGTAATAGATCATAAAACACATTTTGAAGGTTTTAAATCAAATATTTTTCATAGCCAAGATAGGTATTTGACTCTTGTTTTAACTGTACTGTTGAACATACCATAGATGAGGAAGGTGCTTGTGGTCTGCCTAGGTACTAAGTCATGTGTGCAGAAATTTCACGTTGTCAAAGGTCTCAGGTCTTTCATCTGTGTGATACTGGAGTGCATTGTCATTGCGATCCACTAGTGGAATTTCTTCCACAGCTGCGAATATCCTCTTGGTAGCAGTTGTGTGTGTGCAGTGGTCAGCAACAGTGTTTGAAAAGTGTTCCCCAAAGGGAAAAATTGGTAATTTAGTAGCATCTGTAGTGTAATCAGTGAGGATTTTTATGAATAAAATTTTACAACTTTGTTTTTGTAGCAAGACTGTACCTATTTAATTCCTAGGAATCAGCAGCTTTTAAGGTGGGTTTGGTTTTGGTTTTTTTTTTTACAGATTAGAGGTTTGGTGGATTGCACTTGGTTTTTTAAATGATTTTTTTAAAAGTTGGTAAAAACTTGGCAGGAGCTAGAAATGCTGTCTCATAGAGAGAGAAGAATACCACTAATTACCTGATCAAAGGTGCTTGACCTTGTGAGCAGTGGGAGCTCTCAGCTCATGCTGGGATCAAATTTATATGAATTTGTGAGCCACTGCCTGGTACTGGCCCTGCTGCGTGTCATTCAGAATCTGCCTCTGCCATAATCCTAAAGCCACGGCCAGCCTGAAATGTCGCCTACTCATGATGAATAGTACCTTGTTTTGCAAATAGACTCATTGAGGTTAACCATCATCTGTGAATGAAGTTACTATACAGCGAGGGAGGATATTTCAGCCTGGCCCATGGTGAGTGCTGAGTTGCATTAACAGTGGATTTTCTGTAGCTCTTCCAGTTTTCATTCCCTTTCATTCCAGTTTAGGCTAGAGGCAAGAGGCAAAGGTCTTGGAGAAAACAGGAAACATACTGGGAATTAGAAGACCTTTTCAGATTCTTTTCAGCTCTGTGTTTCCCACCATAGAAATAGTCTGGTATCAACTTTCCCAAGTCTCGCTCCGCCCCTTATTTAAAATATAAATATGCAGTGGCTATGATAAGTGTTCTAGATGAGTGTGTTGGGATAGTTCTCTCTTGATTCCAAACCACTAGTGTCAGTGGCTACTTTGGACTTTTTGGATTGATTGGTTTGTATTTTGAAGTCAGATGTGGTACTTGGAGATAAGGCAGATATTTGATTACCCCGTTCTAATTTTTTATTGAGATACTTAAAGCAGCATGGACCTGAGACAAAAGAAGAAGCCTTCCCTGTTGTCTGTAGGAGAGCCACATGATAGAAAAGCCAGCAACTTTTTCAGGACAAATGTAGTCATCAGGGTACATAGCTGGATGTAGATTCTTATGTGGTTACGGCATTGCACAGAAAAGAAAGTTATTTTGGTCATCCCAATAAAAATATGCAGAAAAAAAAGAAGGTTTCCTAAGAACTGAAGATCTAGAAACCCTGTTTTGTAGTGAGGTTTGAGAAGCTTCACCTTAAAAACCATGATTGGGAATTGAGGCACCATAATCTCCTTGCTCTAGTTTTATGGTTCTCATTATAAAATTCTATTTTCAGAACCTAATTACTTTAAATTAAAATACTTGCCATGTGCAAAGCACCTTATAATTTCTGAACTACTATACTTGCATCCCATAAGCTCAGTGGGAGAAAGACAGCTATCATGCCTGTTTTACATTTGTGGGAACTTAGACACCATGTGCTGTTGCTTCTCCAGATGTAGTGATTTAGTGATAGATCAAGTAATAGTCTTACACTTGCCAGGATTCTGTCAGAATGGGATTATTAAATTTTTTGCCCTCTTAGGAGAGGAAGAAGAAAGCAGTAGACCCGACAAGATCAAATCTGTGTAACTGAGAAAATGTTCTACTCTTAATAAGGTCTTTTCTGGGAGGTGGAGGAGATGTTTGTCGTCACATCCGCCCCTTGGCTCAAGGTGTTGATCGAGCTCTGAGCTACAGAGTGTGCCAGTGGCAGCAGTGTGTGCACTGATGTGCAGGGGTCTGGCCACTTAGCAGCTACCAAGCTTGACTGGGGGTGTGTGTATGTTCTCTGGCCAAAGAATGGTCACACTGCAGTTTATGCAGACTCTATAGGACAGTGCATAATGCCCTTTGCTTAATACTTTTTTTCCCCAAGAACTGTCTTCGTGTTGTTTTGACTCACCGTCTTAAGTTGAGAATGATAAGAACTCTAAAATATTCTTTTCTAATTTAGAAAAATCATCTAACAGTAGTATGTGATGTTCTAAATCTTTTATTCTGTAGGTCAGTAACAGATCCACGAGATGGAAAGAGAGTTGCACTCAAAAAGATGCCCAACGTCTTCCAAAATTTGGTCTCTTGTAAAAGAGTCTTCCGGGAGTTGAAGATGTTGTGTTTTTTTAAGCATGACAATGTAAGTAAATTCGAAGTAATTTTGAAGTCTTTGATAAAGCCTAATTGTAAAATGGAGCTATCTATAATAGAAGTATTTTTTATTTTAAGTTATAGAATATCTGAAATGCTTTAAAAGCTCTCTAATTTTATGGTTATCAGATTTCCTGGAAACTCAGATATTACTGTTGCAAATACTATAAAAAAATGAAGTTATTAAGAATCTAAGGATATTCATAATTTCCCTTCCAAAATGTTTGCAAATAGACAGGCAATACACTTCCACCTAATCTTATTTTAGACTTTAGTTAAATGGCAATCTGCACAAAACCATGCCAGCTGGAGATGCGTTCGCTTCCAAGCTATTTCTTACTCCATCTTCCTCTCCCCTCTGTTGGAGTTTATTGCTCTCTTAGTTCTTCTAGCAGAGTGGTCGTACAAGCACTCCCAAGTCTGCCTCAGGTAAAAGCAGCTAGGTTAAGTTAAAACATTAAAAAAATTATTTTAATTGATCCATACAGTTGTGTCTGAAGTGAATCATAAAGAACTTACAGCAACTGTTCCACAAGTGCAACTGTGGATGTGGTAACTTCTCCCATTGAGGAGCAGCAACAGGCACGTTGGGAGTACTGTCTTCTCCTGGTGGAGTGGGATCAGAAAGTGGGTGTCTGTTTCAGAACCTATTTCATTGCTTTTCCTCCTGTTTTAAAGTTTTTAAAAGCCTTTTTTAATCTGAGGTTATCATAGTCCAAGCAAGCTTTTATTTGTGCTTAAGCACTGAGTTCAGATAAGCGGTGGTTAGTGGGGCACGAAAGACCCAAGCTGCCTTGCCATCTTGTACCATGCAGAGTCTGCCCCCCCGCTATCATGCATCCGTGGGAGATGGATTCTGGGACGAGATTTCTTTAGAACTGGTACCTTAAACTGCTCCTCACCAGGGTCTTTGTTATGGAGAAGACTTTACTGAGGACTGTAAAATTAAATAAAAGCATCTCCGTAAGCAGTCAGAAGTTGAGCCTGATAACCACTGACGTTTGTGAACTTCACCCAAATGTCAGATATTCCTAGGACAGGATCTAAAAGACTACACCAAGGCAGTATTTTTTCCTGTGAGAGGATGTAAATTCAGTGCTGCTGCTTTTCTACCTTTTTGCTTTGTACAGAGCGCTGAGCTTCTGATTCAGAATGTGAACAACTTTAGGGTTTGTAATTCCCATGTGGAAGCAGTGTATCACAAAACTCTTAAAGGTGAAAGGCAGAACAAAGTGTAATATCTTTTGCTTTTGCATTTCTTTGCTAGAATTACTTCTTTCAAATATTTTGCGGTTATATGTATATTTGAAATAAACCAATTTTTATTGAGTAGATAAATTTGTGCTTTTAAGCTAGTACTTGAACAGATGGGAAAAGTTTCTTGAATTAAAAAAAAAAAAAAAGAAAAAGAAAAAAGAGAAACCCTGAATGTACAGAATATCTGACTTGGTGGGCTACTAAATTCACATATCTAGTGAGACAGACTAGTCGTCTGTCGATGTGGGACAGAATAAAGCTAAGCTCCATAAGAAAGGGGCATTCTGACTGTCTTTTGAAAGGGATTTGGTTTTGTTTGACTGGGATAGGTCTTGATCTTGTGTGGTGTTTCCTAGGTACTCTCTGCCCTCGACATACTCCAGCCTCCACACATTGACTATTTTGAAGAAATGTATCCTAAATATAAAATAGAGCATCTTAATTGAGGTAGGTGTAATTTTCATTAGCTTAGAAACTGCAGGTAGTTGGTGGAATCTGTGAAATAGAACTACAAAAACTTTGAGCCTGTGTCTGAACAGTTTTATTTAAAGAAGTGAACCTCTACTATCAAGAACTCTTAGTTAAATGTTAACGTTGGAGGTGAAATGGTGCAGGATTGAGCACGACACTTTGAATACGTAAGAGCCAGCAAATGCAGGGCATTGTGGTATTTACCAACAGATACTGCTGCTACTAATGGTGATTCCCCCAAAATATGCTACTATATCCAGAAATTAACTTCCTCTCAGTTGTTAGTACCCTAAAATACTTTCTGGTGTTTTCAGTCACATGCTTTGAAACCATGACTTTTCAGAGATGTTTCAGCAGACTACTTGGGCTGTGGCTTTCCTTGTTCAGCCTCTATCTTGATCAAGAGAACAGATTTCGCGCATATATATGTGCTGTTTAACGTGTCACTGATGCAACGGTACACACTGTCTATGGGTTACTGTGTTATAAAATTGAATTTTAGTACCTAACCTGACATGAGAATGTCATGTTTTGGTTTGGTTTGTTTTTTTTTCCTTTTGCAAACTTTGTTTGGCTTATCTTCTATTTTTGGGGTTGGGAATTTCTGCATTCTTAAATACTGAAAAGTCAGCCATTGAGCTGGGTAGGCTCTTGCTGACCCTAGTTGGAAGAGAAATTCTGTGACTCAAAGCAGGTTGGTTTAGTACTTACTCTAGTTTTTAAATTGCTAGAAATTACTCTATCACAATGTGTTAAGTACACATTTTCATGGTACAGAAAGTATCTAGAAATATGGTGAGATTTAGGAAAAAAAAAATATTTTGAATAGGGCTAATTCTGTTGTCTGCAGAGACTTTACTAGCTACAGACCAGGAATCATAATAAAGATCTTCTGCCTAGATTAATCCCACTGTCTGTTCTCTTCTTTATGCTATTTTAAGAATTTAACATGCTAAGATCCAATTTTTTTGATGTTTTTAGCTAATAAGAAATGAACTTATAATTTATCACTGAATGAGATTATTTGTTTATATTTTATTTTTTATGTGTGTAGCAAAAAAGCTCTTCACCAGACTCCTGCCCACAACATTTTTAAGATTATTTGCAGAGTTTTATGAACTGTTCAGATATTTTTACAACATGCTGTTAGTAACAAAATATCCTTTGTAGACTTTAGTAAAAGTGATATTTTAGAGAGCACATAATCAAATATCCTAACACATTGACATTTCCATTATCTCATTAGCATTTCCGTGCAGGGATCTTCCATACAGCCGAGGTCAGCTAATAGACTGTGAGTTTTCTGTGGAAAACCCCAAAAGCAAACACTGAAAATTAAACTCAGTGCTGAATTGTTGAAAGCAAGCACTTGAATCATAGAGTGCTCAATTATGTGTTATCTTTATACTGCTGCTCCTTTTACAGCTTTGGTCGCGGTCTTTCAAGTTTATAATTCACAACCAAATTGTATAAATAAAAACTTCCTCCCAAAACCAAAATTGTTACCAAAATCTCCTTGTAAATCAGGCAGGGCATAATGAAATGTCTGTTATAAGCTTATGTGAGATACCTGCCAATTACTTTTCATCTGAAAATGTATGCATATACATTCAGGAGCATATATAAAGTGTTCTGATGGAGGATTTGGGTTTATGTTCTAAAATTGTATAGTTTTTATACAATTGTAATTGGGACCCGAGAGCTTTTCCTGTTACCTGGATGCATAGTGATAGTCAGGCTTAAAACCAAATCAATGCCTTTCTGCATCAGGTGTTCTGTTATCTTACAAGTAGCTTTACTATGTTGGGGTCAGTCTTCAGTGGAGCCACTTGAGTTGGAGTGCACCAGCTTACCTTTATGATTAGACTTCTGAAGATTGTTTTTTGATTACTGATGGGTCTTAGCTGCTTTTTTTGTATGACCCCCTTTACCAGGCAATTAATGGGTGGAAAATTGTCATTCTTTATTTTTAGATAAACTGAACTTTGTGAAATATGGTTTGATCTATTTGTAATACCTTGAACTGATTGGTGAACAGAGTAGGTGTATGTTAACCAAAGTACAGCATGATTTACTGATTCATAAACAACTTTTAGGACTTTCTTGTATGAATGTTAGGTAAAGCTCTTAAATTTTGCTTTGATATTTCTTTCATGTGCACAGCATATACGTAGTCTTCAAAAACTGGATTTTGGTTATTTGCACTAGTTCAATGCCCTCATTTTATAACAAGTCATATGAGTTATAAATCAGATCTAGGTTAAGGATTACTCCTTCCGTGTAATTGTACAATGAAGAATATTTAAATGGGATAAGCTTATTTTTATGAGCTTAGCTACTGCCAAGTTTTGAATATAAAACCAGAAATGTTAGTTTCCTTCATGGTTAACTGATTTTAAGTCATTCTGACTAGTATTTTATAGGGCTGTCTTTTTTTTTTTTTCAATTTATTTGAATTTCTTGGCTCTTAATATTGGTAATAGAAGACTATTTGCTTTGTGTAGTCTTCTTTCTTTTGAAATAATTGCAGTAAGTGCACTTATGACCCTTAAATTCATTAGAAGAATGAATAGGTGTTTCAATTTGTATGCACATTTTTAATTGCATGTGCTTCTGTTATTGTAGTATAAGGAGAACTTATTTCAGAATCATTTTAAAAAGATCAGGCAACTATATTTCATATTTGGGGGGTGTAGTTGTAAAAACTTCTCCAAAAATCTTCTGCTATTGCTTGTCTGTGTGCTTTGACACATGCCATAGATTGGCATTTCTAAATTGCATAATTAGAGGTGACTTGATGGTAAATTTACTTAATAATTTTACCTATAACAGAAAAGTAAGCAAATTTTAAACACAAGATATAATTAAGACAGGCATTCGATTAATTACATTTTTTTTTTTTTAATAATTGTTCCACTATTTTTACATGGACTGGGTCTTCATTGTTCATGTTTTGGGTGTTGATACAACATGAGGATGTTCTAGAAACATTTCTTCTAGGAAGCTAGAAAGTTTGCAGAGAGTTAGAAGAGAGCAGAGGTGGCATCACAAACTAAGCTTGATATGATCCTAATGTAAAACCAAGTCTAACTAAAGTATACTAAATAGGAGAAAACCTCTTGTCCCCATTTTATAGAAAATCCTGAAATACATAAGAAAGAGTTTTGTTTTGTTTTGTTTTAAAAAAAGCATGTTTTTTGCAGTGTCATGCAGATAAGACACCTCCACTCCGCTGTTAGCATTCAACAAGTCCTGCCCCAGAACTTGTTCACAGAATGCTGGCCTCTTCCCAGAAAACTAGTTTATAGAATTGCTTTCTGAGGTATGCAGAGACCTCATAAAGAAGGATCCAAGTCATTCGGAGGACACCACATCACAGACTGTACTTTATTCCTTTTCAAAATTTGCCTGTCACTTTGTAAAATTTACCAACTCAGCGAGTCTTCCAGTCAACAGAGTAAATGAAGTTCTTTTGTGCCATGCGTTTGCCTTGATAATTGTTCTGAAGCAAATTGGTACATTTGTAGTTCTAATTTTATACAGCTACTTAACTAATTACTGCTGTCAGTAGCAATTTTTCTCTGGTAGTAATGTTCAGCTTAGCTGCATATCAGAGCTCCAGTGACCACCTCATAGCGAGCATATTTTATCATTCAACTTAAGAAAACCTCAGGAACCTGTTTAAATAGTTGATTGAAATCCCATAGGGAGTTTGTAGTTTGTTTTTGCTAAACATTTATAGTACTGGCCAGAGTAAAGTCATTGACCCACTTGGGTACCAGCTGTTTAAGAAGCTGCCACATTTGTAAAAGGCAGAAACATGAAGCAAGTGCTGCTTTTGCTCTTGTTTAGAGACCCTCATTAAATTATCTAGAGACAATAATCAGATAGCTGCTGCTCAAGTTAATGGCACCTCTGAGCCCCTGTCAAGAGAGCTTTATTTAATGCGCAACAGACCTGGAGTGGTGCAGGTGCCATTTCAGGCCCTCATTTAATTTAAGCTGCTTTAGTTGGCATGGCAACTAGTTGAGACATCTGGGAGACATTATGCTTGGGATTGAGATTTAGGAGGATTTGTGGCGTAGCAAAACAAAAATCTTATCATAATAAAATGCAGAGTAATGCTTTTGGATTTTTTTTTTTAATATTTTACATTAAAAATGAAATGTAAAGATTTGTTGCAGCCATAAGGTAAAAACCAAATTTCAGTGGGCTGGTATAAATATTTAAGAGGGCCTTTGCAAAAGGAAAAGACAAATTAGAGGATTAGAAATTATGGTGCTGCAGGGTTGGGTTTTTCTTTATGATTTCTTTATGAATGCAATTTTAATTTGGTGGGGGGTTTTGGTCAAAAATTTGGCAATATTTCATTTATAAAATTAATTCTTGTGTAGTGTGCTGATGGCAGATGAACAATTTGGCAGATAGGGATTTGGCCGGATAGGGTTTGCAGAGCAACAGATGGAAGGAGAACATTGACTGGGTAGAGATGAAAGAGAACGTAAGTTTTCTCTAGATTGTTATAAGTGCAACTTGACCTCTGCCAATTAATTGATGGCAATGGTAAGAACAAGTAGAAGTTTCTCCTGAAGCTGACTTGCTTACTGTGTTACTGAGATAAATATCTTGACTGAAGTCAGGGTTTGCTGTTATGTAGCAGACTTGATACATAGCAGACCTGGCTATAAAGAGCGTTGAACCAACTGCCAGGCTCCTGCAGGATAATGGTGAGGTTTAACAACAAACCAAACCCCTCAACGCTGACCTAGTTAGTTAGCTTTGCTTTCAGAGGAAGGGCCAGGATGGCACACTCATAAAAATACCACTGCGAGGTCAATGAGTTCATGAAGTTACCGGAGCTTGTGCACGGCGGATACAGAGGACAAGTGGGACCGAAGCATGTGACTGGCTCACGTCCAGCAAACCCGAGCAAACCCGTCTCTTCTGGCTGAGCAGACGCAGAGCCGTACGTGCTCCCACGCCCAGGGAGTGCCCAGGCGGAGGAGGGATGCCGAGCTGTTGCCGATTCCAACAGATGAGCGGTTTGTGTTTTTGGAAGGCTGAGAGCTGACTACTGCTTCACCTTGAACCTGGTACACCAAGGGAGACACTAAATTGAGGCCCAGGAGATGCAGTTTTATTTCCATCTCTCTCCTTGATCTTTTGCACGACCTTGGCAGTGTGCACCACCTCTCTGCCGCATTTTTGTCTGTTTTGAACTTTGCAGGGCTTGGTGTGACTTGTGATGCTTAACACTTAACACAGGGCTGTCGGTGAGACCACCGATACTCTGCTGTAAAGTAGAAGTTCAGTTAACATGTGGCTACCGGGGTTTACTTTCTTCAGCCACAGACGTAATAATATCTGAGATCTTTGTTTCAAATATTACTGCTAAAGGTAGCTTTTAAAGCAGTAATGTTTCTTAATTATCAAGCTTACTTGTTGTAAAAGTTGAAAATTCTCAGTATTGCAAGTTAAATCCTTCTTGGAAGTTGGGGTGCTGTGGGTTTGCCTTAAACTGTTCTGGCCCACAGCTCCAAACCAAAGCTCTGTTTACGAGGGGTGTTTGTGAATGAAGCGGAGCGCAGCAGAGGCAGCTTCTCTGCAGCTCGCTATGCTCTGCATCGCTGGCCGCAGTGGAAGCTGTCTGTCGCTAACTGCCCTGTGCAACTTGTAGGCAGCCTGTGTCTGTAGTGTCCTGAGTGTTTATCATCATGATTTCTGCATGTGTTTTATTCCTGGAAGCTATTCAGGAAATGGACACCTTGATACTGCTTTTGTGCGTTAAGATATGCTGCTATGTCTTCCATATTTCTCCATTTTTGAAACATTTAGTGGTTTTAGTGCTTCCTGAATAAACACAATACCCTTCTTAATGCACACCTTACCTTAGTATAAGCCACAGCATATACAAGTCTTTGGATCTTCAAGTATTTGTATAAACTGCCATAGACATGACAATTGCTGTGTTCTGCATGTCTATGAGCACGTGGTGTCTGTTTGGTTTTTTACTTTTTCCTCTAGGTAGAAGTTTGTTTTCTTTTTTTTTTCTTTTTCTTCTCCTATAACTCAGAAGAGGTTTTATGACTGGGATTTGTATGCATGTGTGTATATGATGCTTGAGAAGGCAAAATACTGGGTACTGGATAGATTTAGGGAAGCGTATGTATTTATAAAAGTCTGTATTACTGATCGTGTAGCAACCTGCAAGGTACTTTTGATAACAGACTTTCACAGGCTTCCACTTGCCACTTTATCTGGTTAAACCACATTGATGTACGTCCACTATGAAGATGCTACTTTAGTTGTTTGTAATTTATGGCTTACCGATCTTAAGGAAAAATTTAAAGGTTTCAATTATATTAAAATTTTACTTTGTTTTCTGAGCCATAATTTGACGTTGGAGTAATTTTGTAACAACTACCTTAATGCAAACACTACTTTATTGAGTAATCTGTTTTCTTTCACAACCTGTTTTTTATTTTCATTCTTGTAAGAGTCTGGAGACTTGACCTCTGAAGAAGCTTTATTCTGTTTTACTCGATGGCTCTGACCTGTAAGAGCTCAAATTCCTAGGAGTTAGAGTAAATGTTTCAAGAGATTATGTGCTGGACTTTCTGCTTTTGCCTTAACTAATAAATTGAAGATATGTTGTCACTGAATTGATGCAGAGTGACCTCCATAAGATTATCGTCTCTCCTCAGCCACTCAGCTCGGATCATGTCAAAGTTTTTCTTTACCAGATTTTAAGAGGTAATTTTTCTTCTTTTAAATTTAATGAAAATTATGTAGTAGTAGTAGTTAATTTTTTTTCTCTGTTTCTTAATGTTTACTCTCAAGACATCCTTATCTTGGATAAGTTTCCCATGGAAACTTGTTTTTTTATGTCCTATTCCAAATGAATTGCAAGCGTAATTATCCTAGTTATAAGAAAATGGCAGCCCTGCTGCCTTCCATCGTAGTCACAGGTGAAGATGGCAAGCCTTACGCTTCAGCTGCAAAGACTCTTTCAATGGCCCATGTGAGTCTTCAGGTGGGTGGGTGTGTTTTAACAGTCCTCCAATGCTTTTTGAATCAAGGTACAGAAAGGACTCCTAGACTGAGCCAAATTGATAAATATATGTAAGTATATCCACTGAAGGCATTCTGGAGAACAGCCTAGTTAAAATTGTTACGGAACAGTCCACTAAAGTTTGATTTTTTAGTTTAAAAAATTTACCATAATAGTAATTATAAACTTGATTTTTATTTTTTTTAGTCCATTTGGAAACTTTTATCCAAGAACATCTGATCAGTGTTAGTCCAGTTGCTTTTCCATTGGCTTTGTTTGAGTACTTTCACTGGAATAAGATGAAAGTAAACAATCAATTTTATCTAGTAGTAAATAAGTAGTAGATCGTATTCATAAAGCAGAGCAAAGAAATATAAATGATATCCAGAATTAGTATGGGCTATTCCAGGTACCTGTTGTGCTAGAGAAAATATTTGCAGTCCTAAAGGAGAAAAGGCGTTTGTCCTCTGTGGTTACTGAGTTTATGGTGACTGGGGGAACACTCAAAACTCTTAATTTCTCTCCAAACGGCAATGCACAACTGTCGGTTAAAGTTTGTCCAAGAGTTACTTGAATTCTCATTCCATTTGGCCAGGCCTTTGACCTGAGAGCTCAGTGTTCCCCACTTTAATGCTATTATTTATTTTTGCTCTCTCTGACCCTACTTGAATTGTGGCCATTTTTCCATTTGTCCATGCTTTGTAGTTGCTGTGCATAAACAACTTCTCTTTGGTATATTTTCTTCCACTGTACTTTTTAGTGAGGTGCTTTCTGCATTACTTTCATTTTCTTGAAAGATCAGAATTATAGCTTCAGGGACTGAGAAAGCACACAGGAAGCACAGGTCGTCTTTCTTTCTAACTGCCTAAATGTTAGAAACATCCCAATGGCTGTGCTCAGACGCCCCAAGTTCATTAGCTCTAGCTTTGAATTTTTGCAGAAAGTTAAGAAAAGGGCCTAGGCTTTACTGTAATTTGGGCTTGTATTCTCTTAGCCTTGTTTTACATTGTCTGCTGCTGGCTTATGAGGTTTTAGTTAGGAAAAAACTGATAAAAAAAAATGCAAATTAGCTTGGGTTTAATCTGAGTTTATTTCTGAAGTGCAGCTGTTACCTAGGAAATTGTTAAGTCACATTTTAGTGCTGCAGAAGTTAAAATTGTTACAGGGAAACAGAGCAGTAAAAGCTATTTGTCAGTATTTCAGGGCTGCGATTTGCAGAGTATCCATGTCATAACCAGGGATGTCATGTTTTGGTTTCTAAAAAAAAGAAAGACTGCTTAAATTACTTGCTCTGTCTAGTTTATGTATTCCAAAAGTTTTATCCTTTCATTGAGTGACTGAATGTATACTAGAGATGGGAAGTTAGAATTGTATAAAAAATGAGCCGATGGCAAAGTCTTTGCTGATCAGGAGTTGCAAGACCTTCCAGGAAAATGTTGTCAGCCTTAAACTTCTTTTACAATGGAAAAAAAAGGTATTTATTTTAATTTCATTTAATATTTCAGGTCTGAAATATCTACATTCTGCTGGCATTTTACATCGAGACATTAAACCAGGGAACCTACTTGTGAACAGCAACTGTGTTCTTAAGGTGCTACTTAAATTTATTGAAAATGTACATATGTATATGCTGTTCATGATAAATCAGTTGTTATTTTTTTGAACAAAAAACGTTTAATATGAACACTTTTCCTGAAAGTCATTTTAAAAGAAAAAAAAATCCCACAGATCCTTTAAAAGTGATAAACAAACCAAACATCTTCCTTTCCCCTTTTCTCCCTACCTCTCCCCAAATCTATGAAAGCAAGATAGACACAATCCTTTTGTTTGACTCGCGTGGGATCTCGTGTGCCCTGGGCAGCTGAGAAGGGCAGGCGGTTTCCTCAGGTATTGAATGTTGGTGCCAAAGTAAAGGCACACATACAGAATGCCCAAGGCTCTTCCATTAACAACTTAGGCATATGAAGTGTTGGAGGGCTTAGGCGTGTTGTATAGCTGTGCCAAATATAAAAGACTTAAGTTTTGTTCACACTGATTTGCTAAACATTCTAACTGTGAAAATTCTGGTCTGTTTTCTTAACCCCTCTGGTTCAAGAAATTTTTTGATAGTTTTTGAAGCCAAAGTGAGTAGAAAGCTAAATCTTTCTGTACCATTTTGAGGCATATCATGAACAAATGCAGTCTGCTTTGGGATGAAATACTCTGTACCCAAAGACTGGCAATATGTATCTTTTTTTTCTTTAGTGCAAAGGTTTTTTGATCTTTTAGATTATAAATATTGTAATGCCAACTAAAAATGTACTGTGATTTCAAATAAAATCGTAGAAAGCTTAAACGGATACGGAATAAAGTAGCATGATTTGTTCCTATTCCCCTTTCCCTTTGCTTATGCAGTTACAGCAGATGATCTGATTTATTTAAATGCTAGTTTGGAATTTCCTGCTTCGTTACCAGAAGGTTACCTATTTGATATGCATTAAGTGTTTTGGTTATTTTAATTTTTTTATTTACCTTCTCAATTTAGATTTGTGATTTTGGATTGGCCAGGGTGGAAGAATTAGATGAATCTCGTCACATGACTCAGGAAGTTGTCACTCAGTATTATCGAGCTCCAGAAATCCTGATGGGCAGCCGTCACTACAGCAATGCTATTGACATCTGGTCTGTAGGCTGTATCTTTGCAGAATTACTTGGGCGAAGAATATTGTTTCAGGCACAGAGTCCCATACAGCAGGTATAATTAAATTTCCCTTTAAAACATTTTATACTGCATAATTGCATGGAATCAGTTCTACTGATGCATTTTGAACCTCAAGCTTGCTTTTGTTTTGCTTGGTTTACACACAGTAAAAACCAAGCTACTTCGAAACGCTGAAATGGTAGCTAGCTTCCAGGCAGTATTAAAAGTAGTGGTTATTAACATTAGCTTTTGAAATGTGTATTTTTTTGTAACCCTCTGTAATCTGCTGCAGTACCAAAGCCTGCCGTAGCATTTTACTGAGATAACGTAAAGGTGATATAACTGGCATCAAGCTTTTTGTAACAACTATCGTGAGAAAGTACTAAGTTTTCTGTCAGTACATAACTGGAGATACAGTATTGGCACTTGAACTGTTTAAATTGCCAATTAGTAGTATTGCTCAGACTGCTTCATTTTAGTAATGGTCAAATGTGTAAGAAGGTATTGAATATTTTTTTTATGTTGTATAGCTGTGGCTAGGTATAAAAACATGAGATGCACCAGAATACTTCATCACCATTCCAACAGTAAGGAAACTAATCTAGTATACATGTGTCTCTAATAATCTTGAAGTGCTATTTTTACAGTAGATAGAAAATAGTGTCTGCAGCAAGATATTAGAGATGGATGCATTTATACTTCTATCTAAGAGAAGGAACAAGATGTGCTGACATAAAAATATTTATCTTTAATGTTACTAGTATTCATCTGTAGATTAGAAACTACATAGCACTAAAATTGTGAGATTATGTATATTGATTGACAGGAAGTAAAAACACATTCCAAACTTTTGTGAAAGGTGACATTCCAAACTCCTTACTTCCCTTGTATGTTTTCACACATAGCGTTTTCAGGGGGTTGAGAGATATTCACGTTAGCATGCTGGTTTCAACGTTTGTATATTTAAAATGTTATGTATATATTTTTTCAATGCTGTGTCCTGTCTAGTGGTACCTGTCACATCCCAAGGAGGGACTTGCTAGTCACACGAGACAGCACTGATACCTCGTGTGAGCACAAGAAGCAGGCCTCCTCCCCAAACACACCTCTCTTACACTTGTGAAGAGACTGCAGGAGGGAGACGCAGTCGTGTCATCAGAGCTGCTGGTTAATGACGGCTGTTCTCTTGCAGTCTCAAAAATATTTAAGATGTCCTAGTTTTCCAATCTTTGATCCTTTGCTATGCTGAAGCTAAACATATATGTGATTTTAATAGCCTTGGCTATCCTTCTTGAAATTTAAAGTGCAAAGACATTCATCAGATAACTCCAGAATAGCATTATGGGGTGGGTTTATTGGGTGGTGTTCACTTTATTTGATTGAAAAGTGGTATAAAGCTACGTAAGAGTTCCTAGATCTTCTGTGATCCCTGTGCAGTAGAATGGTTTAAGAAGTAATCGCCATATATATTTCATGTTCTGAGAAATTCAATACCATTCAAATGTGGATGGAGTCTATAGAAGTGCCTCGGGCCAGTCAGTGTTCTGCTCTTTCCTTATACCTGTGCCATGCCCCTTAGTGTAGACTTTAGACGAAGAATGGTTATCCCGTACGGCCCGTGGAGTTGGCCAGGCCAGCAAAAACTCTGATGTCAGGAGAGCCATCATCAGGCTAAAGTTTTTCTGGCAGAAAAAATCAGGGAAGAGATCATTATCAAACAAACTGCACTGCAATTTTTTTAACTCAAATCTGTCATGAAGAAAGTGACAAAGCTTTACATTATAAACCAGACTGGAACTGGTGATTTTACTATTTTAAACTTTGGATAGTATCATGTTGAAAGTGATGACTATATCTAAGTTGCTTCCGCAAGTTACAATAGCTAACTTTTGATAAGGATTTTGTGGGATTTCTTAGAAAAGTAAGAAATGAGATAATCTATACTGACACTTAGATAATCAGAAACCCTTTCAAATATAGTTATTTCCTAACACCTCCCATTTTTGCTTTTTACTGATACTATTTAGAATAGTTAGCATTTTTGTACAATACAACCTTTCTCTTTTTGTTTAAAAATGCATTTTTAAAGTTGCAAATACAAGTTATTTTTAGCTATATGTCCAGAAACATCTAATACATCTAATTTTATCTTTCAGTGCATCGGTGGTGCAGGAAGGGTGATCTCTCACTTTCTGACTATCTGTGGGAGCAAGTGCCTTTCTCTGCTTGCTTGAAAGACTAGTCTGCACACTGTTTTGTAAAAGACAGGTTATAGAGTGCTAAGTTTTAACCACCTTCCTAGGTTGGCCAGCTCCTCTGGTCTGATTTGCTAATTATTATTTAATCATCCTTAAAGATAACGAGTCACATGCCTGAGACAGTAAGCAGAATCTGTTCGGGAGGATCAGAGTGTCAGGAAGAAAGGAGAATCGGGCAGATGCTGCCAGCCCAGTGTAGCCATTTCCCATCAGCTGTAGCCCGTACATGAAGTTGCATTTCTGGCACGTCGTGCAGCCAGCCTTTGACATGTCAGCACACAGGTACGCAGAGAGGAGAGGCTTGCTGCTTCAGCAGTACACCGGGGTATGCCTGCTGCTGGACGCCGCTTCTGTATGTCTGACTTGGTTACCTGAGCAGTTAGTGCATGCCAGCAGGAGGGGATCTGCAGAGCGAGGGGTAGTCGGTGCTGGGGACCTGACACCCCCTTTTTCCACAATTCAGAGCAGAGACATGCTTTGGAGTGGACCTGGTCTGCTTGCACAGCCTGGGTGCCCACTGGCAGATGAAGTGCTTGAGATGTTCTCATGCAATGCATCCTCCAGTTAGTCCTCTCTGAAAGGAGCTCAGTGCCTCGGCTCCGCTCAGTGTGAACCAGGGCACAGGCAGTGGCAGCAGCCGAGAAGTCAGCTTTGAAAGTGCACTTCTGACCTAAAATAATAATAATGTCATGGTGTAGTTTCTATATACCCGAAACACTTGAAAATCATGCAACTGAGGTCAGTTGAATTCAAAATTAATGCTTTGTAATATTTTTTCTATTTTTACACTAAAATTTCAAGATATATTTCATAATACTTTAGAAAAACGTGGTTGATGACTGATGACATGCATCTAGATAAATGAAATCAGACCTCTTAAAAACACTCTTCTGTGAGTGTATTGGAAATATATGGGCTAAGACAAGAGAATTTATATCTTGTGAGCTGTTAAACATAAACTTTCAGGAGATCATTATGAAAATTGTTTTCAGTGCTTGTAACCATTAGAATAAAGTGTGTGTATTTATATCCATATCTATATATATAGATATAAACATATATTAACATATCATTGCTGTGTGCTTCAGGAGTAGTTGGCTGAAAAATACAGGTGTTTAATGCAGTCTACATTCACTAATACGCTGGTATAATTTATTATATTACTTCTTATATTTTGTAAATATGTTGATCTGTTATAATACCATCTCCATGTGTCTATTTCTCAGTTATGTATTTCCCACATCTTAAAACCTCAAGGTTTAGGATTTTATTTTCCTGCCTAGTGTTCCATCTCCTTACAAACGTAGGTCCTTTGGTGTCACCCCTCTATGAAGTTAGGCTGGCCCTGGCCGCGCACTGCCGCGGCAGACGGGAGGACACATGCTCAGTACAGGTTGTGAGGTTGCACGTACCTCGAGGTGCTGGGCAGACCCGTGCTTCCGCTGGAGAGTGGGCAAGGACGGAGGGAGCACACCAGTGAAGAGTTACACAGTGCGGTGTGTAAGCAGCAGTTGCACCGACAGCCAGTGGGTGATTCTCACGCTTGCCAGGCTGGGGTAATGATGATAACGGGCTTATTCTCGGAGGAGAGCTCTGCAGTTGCTCATTAGCACAAGTCACAAGGGAACTCTTGGAACCAGGATGCTGTCTCACCACTGATGGTGGTTGAGAATTGATTTTGCTTGACTTCTACAGGGGTTTTTTTGTTTTATTCACTATAGGACTATGTTTACACACTTTTATAGAAATAAGGTGAAAGCTCGTCTGTTGCTTTCCAAAAAGAAAAAGGTGAATGACATGTCATTTCATTTGAAGTTGAGACCAATGTTAACTACAGCATCATCTTTGCTCTTTTTTTAGGCAGCTTTTTGTTTTCCACTCCTTTTCTTTCCTCTGGTGCCAGACAGATTTTTTTTTTTAAAAAACTTATTTTCCTCATATATTGGAATTTTTTATATAGTATCTTCATACTGTAGTTCTGAGGTTTTTTCCATTTTCTATAGTTTTATTCCTGTGGATGGCAAAATATATTGTGTAAAGTAGAACTGGCCTGATTTTTTGGGGCTTGTTTTGTGTGATATATTGGTATGCAATACTGACATTCAATTAAGAATATTTGGGTTTTGGAATGAGTAACACTTCATTAACAGTACTTAACAATTTTCTTAATGATGTAAAATTGAGTTCTAAATTGCAATAAAATATTTTACTAAACCGGTAAACAGAAAACGCTCCCAAACTTGAAAATCAGCTTTTTCAGTGAAATTACAACTGTTTGTATTTGCTATCTATTAACTGTATAGGTTAATATTGTAATTTACTATCTCTAAAATAGTGGTTTTGAAGTGATTCGTACCTTAAATGTAATCTATTTTGGCTTAAGAGTCTGCTATCGTAGTGAAATGTATTAACATGTGTCTAAGACCTCCAATGTGTATGTTCTATACCTGCAGCTGGATTTGATCACAGACCTGTTGGGAACACCGTCGCTGGAAGCAATGAGGACGGCTTGTGAAGGCGCCAAGGCACACATACTCAGGGGTCCTCATAAACAGGTAGAGCTGGAGGTTGCTGGCCTCTTTGTACGCTTGGGCAAGACAGTCTGTCAGTCAGCACCATAAATTAGGATTTCCTCTATGCAGGATACTACTGCTGCATCATCGCGGTGTTTCGTGTCTTGATGAAATTCTCGTGGCGTGTACTTGGTTTGGATATTTAATCGCAGAGTTGTCTCTGCCTGTAGGCTGGGTGAAGTTTACCACAGGTGGCTGGGGGGTTGAAGAAGCATAGGTTAATGGTGCAGTTATTCAAACTACTGTTGAGTCAAGGTGGCTTTTCACTAGTAAACTGTATTTCTGGCTTCTGTCCTGTATCTATTGTTTGACTTGATGATACAGGTGAAAGGAAGTCTCCTTTTTTGAAGTGACAGTGTTTTGATAGCTATTTTGAATGGAGATGTTACATTTCAGCGATAATATTGGCAAGAGACATAAATTAAAACTGAGAGTATAGTTCAGAAAGCCCAGACAGGATCAAGAGTGTTAGAAATGGAAACTACCCGTTACCCAGATCTGTAAACAGAATCGTCCAGCTGCTCATCACCAAAGGGTCCCCTCACACATCATGCACTGACCCGAGCCGTTGGTGAAAGATACTCAAAACTGAGATACAACATTCAACATAGCTGAAGTAAAAGTTAATTAAAAAAAAACCCTAACAAACCAGAGAAAAAAGGCAGGATGATGTCATTATGCTGACTGGACAATAAAAAGGGCAAATGAAATGTACTGTTAATAGATACAAAGAAATGCTTATGCAGGAATCCATAGTGCAGTAATAAAGCAATATGTCTATCCAATATGGTCATTTTTATGATTGTTAGATAGCAAAAATTAACAAAATTAAATCCAGTAGTTAAGTTTGCATCTTTATTTTCTGCATGTTGAAGTAATTTCTCAAATGTCTACTCACCACAATAGTAGTTACCATAGAAATGAGCGTTGAATATATATTCTGCTATATTATTAACATGTGGGAGTTCTGCCTCCTTGGCACTTTTGATTCACTACATCAAGTTGTCTCTATTCCATTTTATGACAGGTGCTTTTTCTTTTAACATTTATAATAGGAGGATTTCCTTAAGACTTTCTCTAACACTTTTAAAACAAATCAAGTCTATTTTTTTTGCTGTCACATGGTAGAAGAGTTGTAACTTTTAAGCATGTAGTCCTGCACTTTCAAGGTTTGAGATGTTTTAAAATAAGTTTTATAGTGATTTGAAGCTTGGAGAAATACATCCACTGTAATTTGTATATAAAAATATGTAACAGTATACAAATACATCCAGATACCTTATAGAATACATTGGTTTAAACTCTGATAATTTGATAATCATTTGACATTTCCAAAGCGTGGTAGTTGTGCTCTTGGTAGTAGAAAGCAAGAAGTCTGGAATGTATTTGTTAGCCTTGTTCAGTTTGTTAAACCAGGATGTTTTATCAAGACTTGAAGTGGGTACAAGAGTATCTTCTGATTCTCTAATCCCAGTGCTAAGGCTGTTCTACAAGCCCTGAAACTGTGTGTCTCGACCCATTCAATGATGAGAATACTGAAAAGCAAGTGAGGTGAAACGGTATACAAAGTTTCCAATGCAGATTTAATGTCCTATAGCTGCTATGTCATAGGCAATAAACCATAAGCAGTTAGTTCTGTGTCTCGTGAGGAAAACAGCAGTCACAGAGTGCCACAGCAGCTGGACACTCTCTGGAGTCGGTGTGCTCATTTGCAACTTGGAGTTAGGGGGTTATGGTGCATCTAGTTGGTTTCTTTAATGACATTTCTCTGTCTTCAAGCACACTTGGTGTTTGAATGCAAATTCATGGCTTTTCGTCTTTTAAGATGGAGATTTTGCTGGTTATAAATAGCTAAATGTTACCAGTTTCTTAATTAGATTAATAGGGAGAGAAAACCAAGTTAGCAACTGGTGATTACTTTGTGGCACAAACTATTTTTAATCGGTGTAGGTGAGCACAGTAGGAGTTAAAGGGTAAAGCATTTTGCTGCTTTATGTAAAAATAGATTAATGCATGAAGTTTCTGATTAGAAAACCCCCACCGCACTGTGTGCTGGCATAATGAAAATTTACATACTACGTAGACCTCTTTGTCAGTTTTGTATTTAAAAATTTTACTTCAAACTAAATTTAAGTGAATCGATCAAGTTGCTTAACTGGCAGCCCTAGGAAGAGCATCTCCTCCCACGGTCACCGCGTACCGTACGCTGGGGATTGGACTTCACTGTGCTGTAAAATGTGTTGGAGTTCCTTCCTTCCTCCCCTCCCTCAGTTAGGGAAGAGGGAGATCCAGTACGATGCACGTTACTTGCTAAAAGACCTGACCATTGATTCCGTGATAATCAAATCTTGCAGCAATTCAGTTTTTACCAATTTCTTCTGCCCTTGCTAGTACTCTTGTCAGACTGGTTCTGATGTCTAGCAGTGGACTTGATTGCAGTCTGCCGGGGAAATGCTGTCCTCAAAAGCTGCATGTTAGCAGATGCTCTTGGAATGGCAGACAAGCTGCAGGCAAGGGGCGTAAGTGTAGCAAAAAAAGTGCATCCTTGGATACAACAGGCAAAAAAATAAAATCATGCGTTTTCTGCCCCAGTATATGGATGAAACCCACTTGATCACAGTGCTTGGATGACAGTGCTTTTTTGTGCCGGTGGTGCTTATTAATTAGAAAAACCATATGAAGTGACCAAATATTATAGCTTTATATTCTGTAGACTGCACTTAGAAACTAAGGCTGCGAAGTGCTTAGTGCTGCATTTGGTAGTTCAGGGTTGACGTAGAGTGATGGCACTGTGGAGAGGTAGTTTGTAGATGTACTGGCAAATTTACAGCAACTAAGTAACTTATATGCGGTTGCTTTGCTAAACAGGTAGAAGCAACAGATGCCTGCCAAATACTAGCATTGCATACCCGTTAACAGTCTGTGTAGAGTTCATGCAGTTCTGGAAATCCTGTGGATCCATGCAAATGTAATATAGAGTCTAAGTTTGCCAGTGAATATTGTCCCATAAATACGCTAGCTGGCTTTCAATTGATTTGTTATATTTTACGCAGAATGTTTTAGTCATTTCTGTTAGCCGGCTAGTATATTCTTCCCACATCTCAGTAGTAATTAATCACAGGCACTAGTGAAGCACTCTAGTTCTTCCTGCCCTAATGGCTCTTCCCAACACCTGCATTCACTAGCTAAGATGAATGCTGTTTGAATTTTCATGGGAGGAATAGGAAGGTGGGTGTGTGGCTGCACGGGTGGGTGATGGTTTATTTCCTTGGGGGGCGGGGGGGAAAGAAATTTCAAGGTGGTTGGAGTTGGAAGTAACACACTCCACAGCAGG